ATATCCACATGCAACAAAGATCACATAATCCTTCAAGTAAAAGACTTATACCTAGAACGGTTGGACTCAGACGAGAGCAGTGCAATAGGTTCAAGTCCATCACTCTGAGATTATCCGCCTTGTATCCCATGTGACTTATCATATTCACTTAGTAGCTAGCTCACATCGCCAGGAGTCCCACGAAGCTCTAAGGAAGCATCTGTTAGATAACGGAAAATCTAACCAACAGAATCCAATCAAACCATTATGTCCTCTAATATGGAATCTGTACTAGCATGAAATTCAAAGGCTCATACAATCAAATGTAACCTAAATAGACTATCGTACCACTGGCTGATCAATTCTAGCATGCAAATCTACAAGCTCATATAAACATAGAAAGGCATCTCTCTTAGATCCATATCTCTATTCTAGCATGTGAATCACATAATCATAACATAGACGTGTATAGGTAATTTGGGAGAACTTACTTGAGCTCGGATTATTGCATGCACCACACACTTTTCTCTTTTCCAAAATTCTATTTAGTTTTCAAAATTCTTATTATAAAAATGATTTTCTTTTGAAAATTTTCATACCATGTCCTCAGTTTGAGTTCAGACACACCCGAGAGTGTGCCCGAATTACTTAAACCAAGGCTCTGATACCAACTTGAAACATCCCAAAAATACGGTCCAAAATTTTCATTTTAAACATTAATAAAACCATAGGTAACAATTCCTCACGTGAAAATCATATGTCATGTATCTCAAAATATCATAAACATCTGTCAAAACATATCATATCAGAGTAAAAACATCCCAGGCTAAACAATGGTGTGTGCACTGCAGTAATCCCGAGCCCTTCCCCTTGCTACCATAAGTACCTGAAAACAAAACTGAAAACTATAAGCACGAAGCTTGTGCTCGTGTCTATAATATAACAGACACACACCTCACAATCTCCACTTAGCATTCTAAGTTTAAGTCTAGAAATCCTACAAATTCCTAGTTCGCTTAAACTAATGCTCTGATACCAACTCTGACATCCCCAAAATCTCGGCCAGAAAAGACCGATTTCATTTATTATTAAAATAATTTCAGAGTAAATCCTTTTGATTTAAAAGAGTTGCGGAATTTGTTCCTAAAACCAAAATCTGATAAAATAATATCTATCAAAGCATTTCATCAGGAGATGCATTTTCATTATATAATCAAAACTCGGGATGTCATGTTCCGATACAGATCATAAAGCATAAACGATAACATTACAAGTCATTCAACAAATATATACATAAACAGACTTGGTGAGACTAACCCTCATTGCCATTCACATATCTAGGAGTCCCGGTGGGAGAAAACATGAAATTAAAGAGACACTGGAAGCCAATAATAGAGTGATTCTATGTGAAACTCTCTACATGGAAAGCAAAGACCCTCTCTTTTGGCGGTAGACTAACCCTCGCTAAGGTGGTACTTGGAAATTTACCATCTTATTTATTTTCGTTATTTGTTGCACCATCTGGAGTCATTGAAGTCTTGGAAAAAATTAGAAGACAATTTCTCTGGGGTGGTAGTGATAATAAGCATAAAATTAGTTGGGTTGCTTTGGAGAAAATCGTGGCACCAAAGGATAAGGGTTGTTTGGGTTTGGGCTCACTTCGAGCCTTTAACATATCAATGATAGTTAAATGGTGGTGGGGAATAAAAACAGATAAATTGGCACTATAAGGACAAGTTATTATGGGCATCCACAAACTTAAAAACAAGACTGAATATCGATTATCTAAGAAATCGACCCCTGGAGTGTGGAACAGTGTGGTTGGAGCAAAGAATGAACTACAAAAGTTTGGAGTAAGCTTCCAGGATATCTTCAGGTGAACAAGGGAGATGATACTCTGTTTTGGATGGATACATGGTGTGGTAGTGAGCCCTTTAAAAATGAATTTCCAGATCTCTACTAGTTGGAGCAACATAAATCTTGTAAAGTTAATGAGAGAATACAATTGGGAAGCCAAACATGGGATTGGAGAACTCCTCCTATATCGGCTGATCAGATGCACAGCCTCCAAATGTTACTCTCTACAGTTAGTGGGTTTCAACCAACCGAGGAAGGAGATAAATGGAAGTGAAACTTATCTAGTGATAGTGTTTACCATGTGAACACCCTAAGAGCAAAAATTAACCAGCTAGAACTGACGATTTCTGAAGTAATCATACCATGGATACATGATGTACCAATTAAGGTCATAACTTATATTTAGAGAGCAAATTTAGGGTGTATTCCGACCAATGTTGCACTGAGGAGAAGGTGAGTTCAAATTCCAAATGTATTATGCCCACTGCCTACAACAGGATGAAGATATTAGACATCTTATGATTCGATGCCGCTTGGCGATGACAGTGTGGGATTTGATCTTTAAGTGGTGCGATATTCCTAACCACAGTTTAACAACATTGGCAGCCTTATCAGCTTTGCAAAGAACTGGGGATGATGCCTTAAAAGGAGAAACAACCTCATCAGTGTTTGCTATGGCACAATGTGAATGTTATGGAAATCACGATGTGATCGGGTGTTCAAAAACATCCACTCCAATCCTATGTTGGTAGTGGACAAGGTGAAGACCTCAGTATACTCGTGGTTGATACATAGGAGAAATAAATGTCATTATAAGTGGGTAGAATGGACTATATGTCCACTAACAATGTCTGTAAAAGTATAAACAATGTATTGTAATCCTTCTCATATTTTCTCTTCCTGTTCTGCCTAGTATCTTTCTAGATGGCTTTTGTTTTTTCAATTTTATTATAATAATATTTGTCGGTTAAAAAAAAATCTAATGAAACCATCAAACCATTGATGAATAACATAGTAATCCCTTATTGTTTTATACTTTTATCTTTTAAATTAGACTTTAAGGGTAATCCAATAGGCTTATGTCTCTATTATTAGTGTATCCAACTTATAAGTTATCATATCTACAATAATTCTTATAATAATAAAGAAAAGAACCATCCATAATACGAATAATTAATATGAATAGTACAAAGTGCACCTTTTGATAAATCACTTATATGTTGTCATCAAAATTTTAATGATCTTATTAAGATTACCCATTAACAAAATCGACTATTTGTATAATTTTGTCTTTAAATAATTAATGCAGTTTTAATGGACAGTTAAATTTAGAATATTATTGAATTAATCAAGAAGATGCACACCCTTCTTCCAATAATGTATGACGAAATGTGTGATTTGATGTGGCTCACCATGTCGTCTTAATTGGGTAACATGTCAATCTTTCATTGGTTAAAGAATATTATCAATCAATTTCCAATATGTATTTCCTATAACAAGGAAGAAGTCACAATGATTGTTAGAAAGTTTGGTGTCCAAAAGAGATCATTATATGGTGGTAGTGTTTTATTCTTTGTGATTATCCTTATATATTTAAACAATAATATAACATATACTTGTGTGTATATATGAATCTTGTTATTGTTATATAACATAATCTTGTTATTTTTTGAATTGATACTACTAAATTCGTTTTAATTTATTTTGTTTTTGTTTTATTATTATTATTATTATTATTATTATTATTATTATTATTATTATTATTATCATCATCATCATCATCACCATCATAGTTTTAATTAAATTTGTCTTATTATTTTTAAATTATTTTGTGTTTTAGATAATATTTGTTTTTTTTTTTTTACATTTGTATGTTTATTTTTATGAAAGATTATATCATATGTATTTCGCAATAAGATTTTGTATGAACGATTATGTTTGTGTAATGTCTTTTTTTAAGTCTAAAAGCTATTAATGTTCACGTATTTAATTTCTTTTATAGCTTTTTGCTAGTTTTAATAATATTCTGTCGTTCCAAAAAAAATCCACAGTCTTAATAATTTTGTTCTCGATTGAATGTGTATATTCCACTACGACTTATTAATGTTCTCATTTTTTTTGTTTCACTCGGAATGTCTTTATGGTGAAGATGAGGTGAGGCTACAATGAGGTTGACGTGTGATCCGATTAATTAAACAATTTAAGAAAATAATATAAATTCTTCTGAAAAATTAACAAAAAATAGAAAAAAATAGACAACATTAATATTCTTTTTTTTTCCATTCATAAAAAGTACTAAAATCAACTTTGAAAAAAAAAATATAGGAATGAAACACAATTTCAATAATTTACTCTAAAATATATTACTAATGCTATTAATAATAATAATAATAATAATAATAATAATAATAATAATAATAATGAAGATATTGATGTTAGTAATAATAACTATGATAATGATACGTATTTAATAAAGATAGCAAAAAGAAATAACTAGCAAAAAAAACACCGAAAAAAAAACATAAGATGAGAGAGGTACACTAGTAATTTGGAGGTACAAAAAAATTTCCACTAAATCGTTATCCATTTTTTTCAAATGTGTTATTTCATAATGTTAAGGAAATCGTGTGAGAGAGTTCTTGGGAAAACCCAAATTTGCAGCCCGTGCATTGGATAAGTGTGACACATGTTTTTCATAACAGGTATTAATCAATAATAATAATAATAACTAGATTGGTAACCTCCGCTTCGCGGGGGACAGTCGGAGCAAATGTGTTCCTATGATATCGGTTGTAACCTTTGTTCAAGATATTTCGTATCTACTAAACGACACGTCTCTACCCATTTAGTCGAAATCTGTCAAAATCTGACCCTGACAATGTAAACTGTCAGCAAATTATGTTGCCATTATGTTTAATTAGCCATCAATCAGACGTAACATTGTCATTGTGGTTAACATTTTGTGCATTTCTCGGTTTTATATTATCAACATTCAAACATTCCCTACTTTTTTATAATAATCATGAAGTACCAAAGACTAAAAAAATGTAAAAGAACTATAAAAGAAATTGTATGAAAATATATACAACGTTTATATAGAGTATGTCAATTGTAAATGAACGTTTATATAGAGAAAGAATCTTAAAGGAGTGAAGAAACTGAAGTTAGAAACGGTTTCTTCCGTTGTTGGGACCTACAACATCACAAAACCATATAAATTGATATTGCTTCACAAAAGGTTAAAATAGTAAACTTCACTCAAAAATTTATACAACTCCCATCCATGCTAATATAAGATAAAAAAATTGAAAAAATTCGGATTTAATATAAATCATGTGGGTATAAACCCACAACATTCATGAAGAAGAATATATTTTAGAATAAATATATGTTAGTTCAAACTATTGGCAACAAATCGAATGCAACTAACTTTGCAACTAACTGGTTAAGTTGGGAGGTGGTAGATAAAAGGGGCAATAGGAAGGATACAAACCTCGAACATGAAAGAAGCGTTGTGTGTTTGTCATTTTCTGATACATCCCAAGAAAAATTAAATCAAGGAACAACCCCTTACCTACACCCTCCCTCACCTCAATATAATAATAACACATGACTAGAAAAAAAAAATCAAAAGCATGAACTTACTTTAGGATGGCTTCTCAGAAAGGCAAACAACTTTCCTCACCCGCAAGCATTTTTTGTGAATTTGTTCTATAGCTGTTAACAGAGTAAACGATTTTGGTCATCAAGTAATATGTTTTGCAATATTCGTCCTTAGTTGAAGTTTTTATATCATTTTCGGTTCATTTTCCAAGTTAGATGACTATTTTTTGCCGCAAAAAATAGTGAATTTTCTTATATAACCCCAAATAAGTGACCAAAATTTGAAAAGAAAACATTATGGGACTATAATTGAAAAAATGACCTGTACTCAGGGACATGTAATTTACTCTTAAATGAATTCATTTCCAGTTTTTAACTGATGTCTATATATTTGTTGTACTTAAGCAGAACACTTTTGTAAAAGAAGAGCAAACATGTTAATACAAAAGATTAGAGGTATGGGCAAGTGAAAAGGCAAAACTAACTTCTCTAATTCTTGTCACCTGTTGTTCATGTTCTACCTTAAGTTGATTTATTTCATGTATGAAGATGTCAGCCACTTTTACAATATTTTCTTTTTGTTCGACTGCATAATCTCATGAATACTGTAATGTAATACTACAGGGTTAAATAGGGAATAACCTGGAAAAAAAAGATTTGAGATGAAAGACAAAGATTTACATTAACAGGAGTGAACTCACTTTGGAAGAATCTATAATGTCTCTTTAAGGTGATGTGATTGCAAAAGTTGTTTGTCTTGTTGAGTTGTCACCTAAAGAAGACAATCTGAAGCCAGAAACATGTAGGGTAGTTAGAAAATGTGTCATGGAAAAAAAATACATATAAATTAAAAGTATGTTGCCATTTGGGTCATTTTACTCATAAAAATGGAAAATGCACCTAATAGCAATGTAGTTTGGTTTTTGAAAAAAAAAATAAAAGAAATTACCAAAAAAGGAAAAAAAAACCTCGAAAAGAATGTGTAAATTCAAACTCGTTGCTATTTATTGCGTCTATCACCTAAAGATGGAAAAACAAAAAATGACTATGTACTTTATTTTCTGGTAAAGTAATAAAAACAAAATGCAAAGTATATCGCTATTTACTCAATTTACTACTTAAATATATTCAACATCAATCTGAGTTGAAAAACCGTTGAAATCAAAAAAAGATTAACTATGAAAACGATATGCAAGAGTTGTGTCATCCGAAATTGTTAAATTCATATTTTTTGAAGTATAAAAACATTATGCAAGGGTATTTTCGTCCATAAGTGTTAAAATAAAAAAATAACAATAAAATTAGTATGCAGGGCAGTTTGGTCTAAAAGTGTTAAAAACATTTTTTTTAAGTTTAAAATCAATATGCAGGGGCAGTTTCATCCAAAAATCTTAAAATAAATTTTTTTAACTATAGATGCAAGGGTAGTTTGGTCCAAAAATGTTAGAATCAACTACAGATTTGAAAGATACCAATTCTAATGCAACATGAAGCATATAATTTGGTGGAATTTGAGAGAAACCATTGGGTATTGATGTAACTATAACCCCATCTTCACCAAATGCATCTGTGGGTCATAAAAAGACACATTATTTATCAATTTATTTAAAATTATATATATTTATAGAACCTTACACTGTGGTTGAACAGTCAAATCAACTTTCTCTTCTCTTGTCATGGCGTTAATTGCTTTTGGTAGTGTCGAACATAAATGAACTAGTAAGACAGTTTAATGTTATTTTAAAGAAATTTGGTTAGATGAAAATAACCCAATTACATAATTATTTATTTACCATCTTTCAAGTAAAACTCAACACGCTCTTTTGGTGATTCAGAAATTATAACACGATCTGTCAGCTTCACTACATACTTCACTGCATTAACCAACATCAGTGACTGATTAGATGTATTTCCACATCACTTGTTAGTTAACAAATTCTTCTTAATATAAAATTGAAAAGAAGAAGTGCAAAAGACTACCTTTAACCTCATCCATATAGCCAGGTTGTCCTGTGTGTTCTCCATTATTCACTACTCTCTTAAGAATGCCACCATCTTTACAGACATCTAATACTATGATCCATGACAGAAGTTCTACCTCAAAATGATCAACAAATAAATAAAAAAAAGGGGAAATATAAACATATGGGCTCAATTTAGAACCATAAGATTATATATATATATATATATATATATATATATATATATATATATATATATTAATTTTGAGGTCAACAACTATTTTTGCAGCATCTATAGCAGAATTCTTCATAAGTTGTTGCTTCACCAACAAACTGTTGACCCTATTTTGAACCTGAATACCTGTAGATGATGCAGATAAAGGGCAAACAAAAGCAATATGCATATCAACATCAAGTGGAAGTAACACATTCCAGCTCTCATTTCATCTTGTCGAGTTGGTGGAGTCCTTCTAATTTCATCCGTACGAAAAGTAGCTTCAATCTGCCAATCACATAACAGTAAAACACCAATTAATCATCATAAAGATCTTATAAAGATAATCAAGATGTTGGATTTGGATTTGGATAAGTGATACTTACTTCTATACGTAAAGATTCATCAAGTTCTTGTTTATCATCAGGGGTAATGTCTTTGGTATATAACTGACCCAAACAGTCACGAATAAATAAATAAATAAATGCTTTCTTCGTTTACATAATAAATTTAATTACCTTTTTTCTGCTTACTCAGTCAAATTGTTGAATGAATGGCAATAGTTGGCTTCTTTAATCAAAAAAGTTATTTTTTCCAAGTTAAAATTTGCATTATCTGAAGAATACAGACCTTAGCATCAACCGTCAGTTGATTGTTAGGCTTTTTCTACTTGATCCGACTGTCTTCCACCACAGCCCTGCTGTGAGTTCTTATCTGGGGTTACATCCTGCTCCATATTTCCCTGTTTTAGGATAACAAATCATTAGTTAATGTTACCCTAGACTCATATAGAAAATAAGTGGAAATAATTATGTGATGAAAGATTTTATAGTTAATAGACCTCATTGTCCACATCCATGGTTGAAGCAGAAGTGGTATGTGGGGTCAAGACTAAAGGTGTGAAGACTGGCTCCCTAGCTAAGAGTATGGTATTCACAACACCATAATTACCAGTTACAAAAGGTTGGTGCTCATCATGCCTCCATTCACCATCAAGAATGAATTTATACTGCAAGATGAGGTAAACTATGATTATGAAGAACTAACCTGATGGTAACTAGGTGGTAAGTTGCATATGGTTTGAAACATAGTAGGGCATCCTTTAAAAGGAATTTGGTTCAATAATCATAAAGATTTTCAGGAAGTCACCAAAAATGACTTAAAGAAACCATATTTGGCGATTTATATAACCAAATACATGATTAATGAACAAAGTACATGATTAATGATTTAACTATGGAATTTAGTTATATACCTTAAGTAATCGTCACTAACACTTGCAATTATGACAATTTTTCCATCATTACAGCAACTTTAGAACAAAATTCAGACATATTTCGTTATGTATGAATTTTGAACTATACTCTAGCAAAAGAAAAAAACCCTAATCTTGAGTTTCGAATTGAGGATGAAGGTAATCACTTGAATCCTTGTCCAACGAGAGAGGTAGCAAAAACGTCAAATAAAAAATAAAAAATAAAAAAAAACAACCATATTCAACTGATAACCAGATTTATGGCGAACCGGTGGCAACAGATGGAAGCGGAAATCGGCTCAACCCACCGGAGGTAGGCGAAGCTGGATGTGAGAGAGGTTGATGGTGAAGTGGTCGCCGGCAAATGGGTAACCCTCAACACCAAACGAAAAATCGAAGCAAATAGGGGGCGGACGTTAAGATGAGTCGTTCGTGGTGGAGGTGAAAGCGTATACATGAAGACAACGTTAGTCCGCCTTCTTCTCCCGGCGATGCCGACCAAGGCGTTCCGGCCACCGGAGAGGATGCTCGACGCCTCGGAACTTGCGTCACCGGAAATATCGGAAACTTTGCTTGAGTCTGCAGCCGGAGAGGTGGTGGGATGCGGACAAAATGGGTTCGGAGCTCTGTGGAAGGAGGAAGGAGACGTTCTCGTTTGAGACAAAGAAAACAAAATCGAGAATATCCAGGACGAAGAGAGGGATGGAAGCATCGGGAAACGTAACCCGACAAAGGATAAGGATCTGGAAAATAAATATGAAATACATAAACGGGGACACAAAATGTGGGTATTGACAAAAAATGCCACATTAAGAATCTAGTAGTTTAAACATTAGTGGAAAAAATCAGAAGTTGGAAACTTTAGTGTTACTTTCCTTCATAACTTTAATATATATATATATATATATATATATATATATATATATATATATATATATATATATATATAAGTCAGAAGTTGGAAATTTTAGTGTTACTTTCCTTCATAACGTTAATATATATATATATATATATATATATATATATATATATATATATATATATATATAGGAGTAAGATCAAATAAGAACATTAAAAAGGTTGAGAACGTGAGAACAAATCTGAAATCATATAAACTATAAGATCTACGGTTTAGATCAAGTGTGCCATTTATGTCAAAATTTAAAGCTAATGGAGCCAATTTGTAACTTTTAAATGAACGTAAGATTAGTATAGGAATTTCATTCTTTTAGGATACATAAAATCAGCCTTTTAAATATGGAATACTTCTTTCTTTGAATATCTAATTCAATTAGGGTTTCTTATCAACCCTTCGAGCCATCAACCCTTTTCCGCTCATTACTATTGACTGAAGTGTTGCGACAGAGCTATTGCCGGTGAGTTGCTATTGTATTTTATTTGTTATTGGGCGATGGTGAAGATAACCTACAACATCTTATTTGTCTAATTTCCATTGTTGATGCACGTAAGATTTCTTTGTTTTTCTTCTCGTTTTGGCCTTAACGTCAATATCCATAGCACTAGAATTCACGTCTTGATTCCTTTATTTTTATGCATACTGAATTTTGATTTTTATGTTTATGAACTTTTCTTTATTTAAAATCCATTTTCACATTTAAGTTTTGCTAAAAATCAAAGAATGAATGATAATGCTAAACTCATTATTAATGGTGTGCGTAATTTCCAAAATATTAAAGATTTGATAAAAAAAAAAAGTTAACCATGATTGATTGCTAGCCATCTTAAATTAGTTTTTGTAGTTTATTTTTGTTGATTAAATTTGGAGAGTTCGAAACAAAATCAAATCTCATATAGTTTTGATAGTTTGTGATTACAATGGACTGGACTTTAGATATTTTTTATGCTATTCATTTGATGAAATGTAATAGAGCTAGCCTTCTTACATTTTTTTTGGATATACAATTTTGTATGATATTCATTAATGACTATGTAATATAGCTTGTTTATGGTATTTTATTCACTGATGATTATATGAATAGTTCCGGATCATGTCACCTAGTTTTTTCAAAATTTTAATTAATATTATTGATATTTATTTTGTTTTAATGTACAGAAAAATAAATAAAGATTTCAAGGTCCTTCGGAAATGGAGTATTGAAGCGATAATATGCAACGAAAATTCATGAAGATCATGAGATATTTATTTGTGATTATAGAATAATTGTAGTAAAATTTTTTTGTTGTATCTATTTATGATTTTTTAAAAAAATACTTAATTATGATACAGCAAATTCGTTTATTTGTTGTTTTCTTCATTTATGAATAAATGTATAATTAGTTATTTATGTAATTTATTTTACTATTTTATGTCTATAATTGTATTATTGAATATATATTTGATTTATATATGATTAAAGTACGTTGCATTCTTATATTCTTATATGATTAAAAACAATATTCATTTATGATTAAAATTATGTTGCAACTATATATGATTACAAATATTCCGACAAAAGATAAAATAGAAAAAAAAAGTTGGTTTTTTTTTTAATAATACGAGAAAACTGATAAAAAAGATTTTTACATTAATTTAAGAAATAAAAAAATAAGTTCCTTATTTTAGGTAACCCTTCATTATGGCTAGATTTTAGGGATTTTTCATTTAAATTTGAATATGTTACAGTTTAATTTAAATATAAAATTACTAGTTTACTCTTATAAAATGATTGGTATAAAATTGTTCTCGCGTTCTCAACCTTTTTAGTGTTCTCATTTGATCTTTTCCCTATATATATATATATATATATATATATATATATATATATATATATATATATATATATATATATATATATATATATATATATATATATATATATATAATAAAGTTTTCAAATAACGTACGGTGTGGTTTAGTAGTAATGTCAACCCTTACGTTTTTCTGAGTCTTGGCGAGCCACGTCGTTTATAAGGCATGACATAAGATGAAATTTTTTTATATAATTAATATTTTAGATGTATTTTCAATTTTATTCATTTTTATACATATATATGAATTAAGGCGACGTTTTGGTAAAGCGTAGCGACATGTACAAGTCTTGGAGTCATGACAAACTTTTTAGAACCTTGATAATAATAATAATAATAATAATAATAATAATAATAATAATAATAATAATAATAATAATAATAATAATAATAGAATTAGTTGAAGAAAGTGATATTTCACTCTAATATGATTCCATAAATATAAATTTTGTAAAATAAAAAAAAGAGTTCGTATGAGAAATTTATGTTCGTTCAAAGTTGAGACGAAAGTACATTGCTATTTCTAGAAATTCAACGAAGGTCAAAAGTCATACAGTCAACTCTTGGGTAAACGCAGCGTGAAGGTTAACTTACACTGCGTGAAATTGAGCGGAGTCATGAAACATGTGTCGACTCATGAAGGACATTTGCCATAAAAGTGAAATACTTGGTGGAAACCAGGAACAGCATATAACTGTAATGTGACCTTATGCTTGTCGCGGTGCGGTGGGCAATTAGTAAAAATAGTTCTCAATTGTTATGTTATGAGACTTTTCGCACACATGGTCAGTGGAGCGGTTCGAGTGGTATTTCCAATGGTTTATAACCAAAGAGTTATATTGGTGTATGGGGGTACGAGGGT